CTGACTGATCAAGAAGCAGGCTGTCCTGAGACAGGCTGTTTTGGCAGACATGAAAGGGCATCTGCTACAGCATTCATTGACCCTGACAGTAAAATTCGAATGTAAAGATTAATGCTTATCTGGCCTGACAAAAATTTAGGTCAGCCTCTTTAATATACTACAGCGTTTGATAATCAGTACAATAAGAAGGGTTTCAGTGCTCCCGTGAGCGAGTGAAACCATTTTAAAAGACTGCTTTAATGACTTGTAGTTCCCTAATGTTTATATCATATTTTCTTTCTGAATCTGTCAGCTCCCAGGAGCAAAATGCACAAGAGTGTAACTTAGGGGTGTTTGGTCAGCAATGAAAGGACCTAGCCTCTCCTCCTGACTTGAAAGGATCCACTGCCATGGCAAAAGCAAAGGCCAGGCCTGGATGTTTCAGTATAGAGGCAGAAATAAAGACGCCTTAAGATAAGCAAAAGCTAAAAAGCTAAGGAAGTACCTTGTCTGTTATCTTCAAAGCATGTATGACGAGCAGCTACTGAATTAAACCTGATAGAGATGCTTTTAATAACTGGAAAATCTGGTGTCTTGCTTTCATCCATGTCTGCTCTGCTCTTATTTAGAATTTAACTCAAAAATGAGACATTTTTTGTCTTGTGGAAGTCACACCAGCTTTTATATAAAGGCCATTGTCCTACTGCCACAGGACCTGGCTGACATAAATCTTGTTTTTCCAAGGACACAGAGGAAATCAAAATGCTGATGATGTACAATATATTTAATTATATCTAGGTGTTAATAATATTTCCATCTAGGTTAATATGTTAGGTTCTGTTCCCTGAGATGAGGCTAATGTTCTAGTTTCTGCTATTAGTTCTTTTAATGATGTTCTAGGACTTCACTTATATTTACTGTTACCAATATAATCCTCTTCATTCCCAGTAAAACCACAAAAGTCCTCAAGATATCAAGGCTGTTACAACGAAATCTCTTACCAAAGAAATGTTACAGGGCAATTCCACCATTTTTTTCTAAATTTCTATATAGTTATATTGTTAGGATGTAAACAAAGTCTTTTAGAATGGTTTGCTATAAAAAGCTCTGTTTTAGATAAATGTGCAAAGTCAGAATTGTTTACAGTGTTGGTGATGAGAACCGGAGGCCCGAAGCATTTTAATGCCTCTAAATGCTGTCTCACTTTCTGTAAGGTAAGTTTTTACATTGCACGAAATGATCATGAATTCGCAGACATTGTTGAACTGCTGTTCATAATCAGATGTGTGCATGTCACCGCTAAATGACATTATACATATATCTATTAGCAGTTGACCAAAACAGTTCACTTCAACCTGTAGCCATTTAGACAGCTAGGAACAGATAAGTAACCCAGGTTTTACTCAAAGCCTACAACCCAGTAAACTGCAACTCATCCAGAATGCAAGAAGACAAGCATCAAGACTCTTCTCTGTACTGGCACCCAGGTGGTGAAACAAACTCCCACTGGCTGTCTGAACAGCAGAGTCTCTCGCAGTCTTTAAACGCAGACTGAAGACTTATCTCTTTATACAGCACTTAAATGAGCACTGAGTTAAGTAACTAATTGTAATGTATTGTGCTGCATTTACTGAAGTGTATTGTATTGCACTGCACTGTGTTTAACTCTGTTCCTTTTTCTCTAGCTATCAACATGGACTTTTGTTTCTAGCAGTATCTGAGCTCAGGACTGGCTTTCTCTCTAACCTATTGGTAACTAGCAAAGATACTTTGTCTAGATAGACAAAGCACTTTTTGTAAGTCGCTCTGAATAAGAGCATCTGCTAAATGCTGTAAATGTAAATGTAAAATGTAAATGTAAACTGGAAATGACTCTATGGCTTTGTGGCACCCCAGCTTGTGCACTCAGTTTGAGAGCATAAAAAGGAGAACTTGCAGGCACCAGTGAGCTCCTTCACGTAATCTTTTGGGCTGGCAACTTATAGGAAAGCCATGGTTCTGCAATCCGTTTCTTCAGTATTCATCTAAGAAAACCAGTGTTTGCAGTTTTAACTTGTTGTTGTTGTGTGGGCTAGGACATTAGTCTGAGAAAAGCAGCACCAGCAGTTTGAACTAGTGGTTGTCATGAGGGCAATAGTTTGAGGAAACCATGCAATAGCCGTTTCAGCTAGTGTCATGTGTGAAAGTGAGGCTAGTCAGAGAACATTAGCAGTGATAAAGTGAGCCAGTAGTTGTCTTGTTTGAACGGGTTCTTGTCTGAGGAAACCAGCAGAAGACGTTTCAGCTAGTAGTCATGTGGGAAAGGCTGCTAGTCTGGGGAAACCAGAAGTAGATGTCTGAGCTACTAGTTGTTGTGTGGCAAAGTACACTAGTGAAAGAAAACCAGTGCTGGCAATTTGAGCTAGTAGTTGTCATGAGGGCAATAACCTGTGGAAATCAGCTTCATCAGTTTGAGCTAGTATTTGTTGTGTGAGCAAGGACTCAAGTTTGAGAAAACAGCTTAAGCTAGGAGTAGTTGTTGTCATGTGGGCAATGCAGCTAGACTCGGGGAAACACCAATAGCAATGATGTCAGCCAGAGTAATTAGAGCAGGTGAGTCATTGTGTTAGTTACCTAAGTAGGACAGGGTAGGATCCTGAAGCTCCTTCAGTGTTGCTGGGTGAGATGAGATCACTCCTGTCCTACTTGGGACATAAGCCAGACTGGTACAACAATAAAGAGCAAAAATTCACTGTGAGGTATTTGTACTACTGACAGCCACACATTATGTAATTGCATAACTTTGTTGATATAGATATAAAGGATACAGGTGCCCAAAAAATATTAATTGTAGATTTAAGTAGAAATAAAACAGAACACTAGAAAGAAATGGCAGTAATCTATACAGTGACAAAAACAATATAATTGTACCTGAATCATATGAAGGTTTATTTTGTCCACTGAGATGACATAAGTGATAATCCAACCAGACTCAAATGAGCAAAATACATTCTTAGGTACACTTTGTAGTTCTACAATTACAGACTGTAGTCCATTTGTTTCTCTTTATACTTTGTCAGTCCCCTTTTACCCTGTTCTTCAATGGTCAGAACCCCACAGAGCAGGTACTGTTTGGGTGGTGGATCATTCTCAGCACTGCAGTGACACTGATGTGGTGGTGGCATGTTAGTGTGTTGCACTGGTCTGAGTGGATAAGAGACAGCAATGCTGCTGGATTCCACTCACTGTCCACGCTATTAGACACACCAACCTTGTTGGTCCACTTTGTAATTGTAAAGTCAGAGATGATGACTCTGTTGCTGCACAGTTTGTGTTGGTCTTCCTCTAGTCCTTCATCAGTGGTGACGGGACGCTGTCAGCTAGATATTTTTGGTTGGTGGACTATTCTGAGTCTCGCAGTGACACTTTAAAGGTCGTTTAAAGGGCCCATATTCTACATTTTTTCATGTACTTTATTTTATCCCTTAGAATTAAACAGTTTACTGTGTTTTTGAAAATTATATATGCAAATGTACTCTGTTGTGACTGGTTCATTAAAAAAAAAGCAGTCCAAGCTGAAACATCCAACTTCAGTGTGAATAAGCGGTGTTAAACTGCTGTAGTCTAAATAGTCAGATGTATGTAAATGTATTGGTTTTTGTGACATCAGAAAAAATAACAAAATTCCAAACAGGTCGTTTTTGTAGCTTAATTTCCATACAGGAACTCTATGTGCTGGGAAAATTTATGACATAGTTTGAAACAATGGTTCCACAGTACATCAAAATTGAGGAAAATGTGGTTTTCCATAATACGGGCCCCTTAAAAGCTCCAGCAGTATCTGTGTGTGCTGCACAGATCCACTCTGTGCAGTAAACACAACAGTTACCACATCACTGCAGTGCTGAGAATGACTCACCACCCAAATAAGACTTGCTCTGTGGTGGTCCTGTGGGAGTCCTGATCATTGATGAACAGGCCAACAAAGTATGCAAAGAAACTGATGGACAACAGTTTTTAATTGCAGGACTACAGAGGGTACCTATGTGGTAGATGGACCTAATAAATGGACAATAAGGGTAGTTCCACATACTTAAAAAAAAAAAAAAGATGGTTCCTCAAGGGTTCTTTAGTAAAGGCAGTTGTTCTATGTAGAACCATGAGTTCTACACTCTTAAAAAAGATGGTTCTTCAAAGGTTCTTTAGTAAAGGCAACGGTTCTATACAGGCCCAAAAAGGGTTCTTCTAACGTTACAAGCTTGTCATCGTAACAGTCGCACAACCCTTTTGGGGCTTTATAGAAACATTTTCAGAAGGGTTCTTTTGAAAGAACATACAACACATTTTCCATCAATCTGAAGAACAATTTCACCACGAAAAGAACCATGTAAGCATGAAATAAAAAATAAAACTCATGCTTCTAAACAGAACCGCTGGATTAACTAAAGAACCCTTAAAGAACCATCTTGTTTTAAGTATGCGAGGTAGATATACAGGGTGTCCCAAAAAATGTACATCATTTCGTAGTCTAATAACAACTAATTCTCCCTCAAATGATCTCAAATTTTAACAAAATGTGTAAAAACTGACCAGGTTTCGTTTTTAATGTTTTTTTTTTTTTTCAGGTTGTAGAATGGCGTTCACTAGAATTGAAAAGGCATTTTGTGTGTTATTTTGAGAAAATTCAATAAAAATGCACCAACTGGAAAGCATATTTGGACATGGCACAAAAAATTCAAAGAGGAAGGCTGTCTGTGCAGGACAAAGGGATCTGGACGACCACCAGTATCGGAAGATATTACATTTGTGAAGCTTCGTGAAATCGGTTATAAAATCTACATCCCTCTGAATTTCTTGTCCGAATTTTGATAAATAAATCTTGTATTGTTCAACATGAAGCCTATTTAATTTCGTTTGCCCAGGACATGTAGTTACTCAGATATTCACATCTCAGACCATGTCAGTTTCTCTGGGACACCCTGTACTTAACAAAGTGACCAGTGTGTGAACGTTTCTGAGGCCAGACCCTTTCCTGCCCCAGGCCGTCTACGTCACATGAAGCGGAAGTTCACAGCAATAACATATTCCGTGCTAATATGGCAGCGCAGGGAGAAGGCGATGCGGGTAAGTAGCGAGAGAAAAACGAACTTAAGAGCCGTGTTAAACACCGCGGTCAGGTATCAGACATTACAAGACCCGAGCCTTTTAAGTACAGCTGCAACTGACACATATGACACGGAAACTTGAAGAGAAATTACCGCTTTGTCCGCTGAAGCTAAGTCACGGTAGCTGCTCGGCTGTTCCGCTAACGGTAGCTAACAGCAGCGCTGTGTAAGAGTCGTGTAGCTGACAAACGATGAAGAAATGCTCGGGACATCGCGACTTAACTGTCAACAGACCCCGGGCAGTGGGTTAAGTTGTGTTCGGGGTGCTTTGGGGTAGTTCGCTTGAGCCGGTTGTGCTCATGGTCGTTTTTTGAGATAGAGAGAGAGGGAAAGAGAGGGGGTGACATCATCGCTTTCTCACCGACTTTGTTTGTTTGCGATCATCTGTTGGCTCTAAACGAAAGTAACTCGCGTTAGTTTCCATCTTTTCTGTATGATTTGTCTTTATTCCACCGAGTTAAACTCTCTGAAACTCCTGCAACCTTCCTGCTGTTGTGTTTTCCACACGCAAAAATAATATTTTTGGAAGAAAATATATAGGCTGTTCACTTATAGCTAATCCCTACATCTTAATGTTGTGTTAGAGGTGGGTGATGGGGCAGACTGTGATATTGCGATACTTCAGGACGTTTTTTTTTACGATACACGATATGTCATGATATTTTTTCTGACATCTGGTAAGTTAGGACAGTCAGAGCAGTGCCAGGTTTTAAAAATGCTCTCTAAACTGATGAATCCAGTTACTCGTATTCAACGTTTTACACACTGTGCTGTCTACATTCAAATAACAGTGACTAATCATGTCTTATCTTTAATCTAACATGCAGCTGGGAGGTGATTGTTAAGTATTGGCGATGTCTACGATATGCTTAGAAAAGGATATTATGACATATTGTCATGTAATTTTTCACGATACTGATACTTGTCATATTGCCCAGCTGTGCTTTGTGGGATCTTACCATTGACATATCTGTCTGTTATTATTGTTGTACACCCATGAAATGTAATTAAATTGTTGACATGTAAACGAAATAATTGGAGTGGTTTGATGTGAAATGGTAGATTATAGAGAAACTTACCAACTCAAATTTCTTTACAATAGTGGTGATGGGAGCCAGGGGTCAGTGAACCTACAAGTGTTTTCGGAGTTTTAATGTGTAATCTCGATAATGGTCAAATAGTATTAAATCTGAAAAAAAGTAAGTTTCCTTTGGAGACTGTTTTGCCTTATAGCACCATGCTTGTAGCCCTCTGCCAAGAAAGGATTATAAAACTTCACTTCTGACCAAAAACTCATCTTAAAACCGCTGTAAAACTATGTTTCAGGCGTCAGTCAGTGTGTTTGTAACCGCTTAGCGTATTAGTTTTACTAAATGCTTCGGACATCTGGTTCCTATCACTGCCACTGTGAGCGATTCTGACTATGCAAGGTTCTCTAGAAACTTTCCTGTCAGTCTACTGTGAATAAATGTGTTTATGTTTTAATCGTGCAGAAATAAATAATAGACATAATTTTTGGTTTCCTGTAATCTTTCATTAAAATGTATTGACTTTTGTTTGCATTTAAAACATCTTTTTGGCTATGTCGCCATGCACCAGTGGGTGGGAAAGATAGTTTAAACCAGTAATATCACGTTTAACCTCACAGAGACCTTCCCTAATATTGTGTTTCACTCATGGTAGCGAAGGAAAATGCATGACGGTTCCAGTCCATGTTGATTTTAAGTGTACAGTTTTCCCAACCGTGTTATGCATTGAGTTTACCTTGGTGAAACCCCTGAAATAAACTTTAAAAGGCTGCTTTTTGAAGGCAGCTACACCATTGTTGCTTAGAGAGAAGTCAACAGGCAATAGGCAGCTAAAAGTTACCTGAATGGCTTATTGTTCTTTGGTTGTTCTTGTAATCATCATCAAGGATGCAGTTAAGGCAAGAGAACATTTGTGTCTCACAAAAAGAAACACTGTTCGAGGTGACCTTGTAGGACCTTTAACTTTTTGACATATAACTCTGGTATAGATGATGTTTTTGAAATAGACCCTTTTAGCTATTCAGTGTTGCCTGCATAGTATCAGAAAGTGTTTGTTGTGATGTGTGAAATCGACAGGGTTATGAAGGGAGGATTGAAGTCCAGTGTGAGTGAACCTGTTTAAAAGGAAAAGAAAAACTAGTTAGTGATGACTCAAATCTGTTGTCAGTGGAAATTGTAGCGGTTTGGTTTTGTGTCATTTTCCTCTGGTTACACAGAAACTGAAACTACAAATTTGAATCGCTGTATGGCCTTATGTTTCCATCCAGGCAGTTTGGTGTTATTATTTATGTCAAGCACGGTGATATAGGTCTGTTAACACAAATAAGCTTAATGTCACTACTGACTTATAGCAGACTTTGCTGGGTTTAAATAGCTTTGTATTTTCTGTATTTTTTTGTCTCACACAATCATATGTGAAATTCTGTGAACATTGCACATTATATTACAATTGGGCAATACGGACAAAAAATATAATATTATGATACTTGGAGACATGATTCTAAACTGCTCATTTTTCTGGGTTGCGGGTGTTTTGTTGGAGCCTATCCCAGCAGTCATTGGGTGGAAGGCTACACCCTGGACAGGTCGCCCATCCATCGCAGGGCGACATGATACACAGTAATTTGTTTTACTGAAGTTTGATAAGCTGGCATGGACCGTGGGAACCATAGTTCACTCAAAGTGCTGAACCTGATATTTCTAATAATAACTCGAGCCCGGCGCATATTCAGGAAATGACATCTGAACCCGAAGTGAGCTTTCAAACAGATGGTTCAAACTAACCAAAACAATATAGATGTAATTATTTTTATTTACCTCTTCACACTTTACACACTGTGCTGCACTAAAATGAAACCATACTGATTATGTAGTTTTTAGCTCAATATGCAGTTGTTCAGTCTCCCCTTTGTGGATGGTAAGGGACGCTGATTGGTTGGAATGTATTTCATTTTATTAGTGTTTATTTATATCCATCATTTTTAAACTAGTGCAGTGTTTTTTAGATATGGTCAAAGCAGATTTAATAAACTGACACAAAACCTACCAAGAAGAGATACACCTTCTGAGATTTTTCTGCAGGCCCCTCAGTGGGCCACAGCCCTCAGTTTGAGAACCTCTGCTCTGAGTACTGATGCTATCCGTGATATACTCAGAAAAGCATTGTATGTATCCCGACAAAATATCGTCATATTGCTCATCACTGCATGACATGATCTCTGTCTGTGACGTTAGCAGCATTTTCTGACTAATTTCTGTCTCTGTTTCTGACTGTGTTCCACTCACACTCACTGTGTTGTGTTTGCATGTTCTGGGTTGAAAGGCACCAGCAATGACCAACTACTAGACTTAGGAGCTGCACTACTGAAAGAGTGAGTGTCCACTCTTTTTCTGTTGGTTTCATTCATCCTTCTGACTCATCCCATCACCATGCCCTGACTCTTCCTTCTCTTTGACCCCCAGCTTTATCTATGAGCGGATTCATCGCCATGGGGACAACAAAGCCTTGGTAACTAGGAGCCAGTTGGGTGGGTCTGAGCTGTGCGACCCCAGCCATAAGAGACTTGCACAGTGTCTGCAGCAGATTGGAGACGAGCTGGACAGTAATGTACAACTGCAGAGGTGAGACAGCGGACAGTCACATGGATTCATTCAAGGGCGTGTGGTTGCTGTTGGAAGTTTGTTCATGTCGTACTGTGTAATTAGGGATCCAGTTTTTTTCTTTTCTGGTATTAATATCTGTCAGCTGATATCGAGGGCTGATGCCAGTGCACCTTTAAGGCGCATGATTCGTAATACTAAAGTGCATAAACATAAATAGAAACTTAATATGTAACAGAGACGACCATTCATTGTATGATTGAGCAGTTTTTAAATGATATTTAAGTAGTGTGGGAGGATATGGCAAAAATACAGCATCACAATGTCACAATATTTATTTTTCTGAGATCTGATAAGTTGGTGCTGACAAAAAATCAAAAGAATCAGTAGTGACACGTTTTAAAAACTACCATGTAAAAATACTGACCATGTCTACGATTGTAACAATTGTGGCATATTGTTACGTAATTCATCACAATATATTATATAATGTAATATATTATATAATATGATATATAATCAGGGTTTAAAAACTGTATGGTTACAATTTAATAATGACCACGGCTTAGTAACAGTGTTCAGTGTTGATTGGTCAAGTCTGACCGATATCCAGTCAGTGTCAGTGCTCAGACTGATCCAGTACATTGGATCAGCACATCATACAATATCACAATATCAAACATCTTACACTTTTTTAAGCTAATTTTGTAATCCATGCTATATACCGTGCTCTTAACAGTATGTGCTTTATTATTCTCCTAAATATTTGTAAGCCTGTTGCTAACTGTAAGGGCAAATTCTGCTGAATTTTCAAACTTTCTGCATAATTAAATGGTTAGGATGAAAACAGAGTCATTCAGAGTGGTTTGATGTGTAATAGGCCATTCTCACGAAACTTACTGATTCAGAATTATTCAGAGTGATGATGATAGGAACCAGATGTCCATGTTTAAGGCCCCTAAAAGCTCTCTCGCATTATTTAAGACAGTAAATAATATGTCCTTATTTATGCTGAAGACATTGTGACCACTGGTTCCTACCAGCACTATTCTTAAGATGTGAGTCTGTAAGTTTCTTAGGAATAGTGCATATCTCATTAAACCACTCTGAATGACTTTGTTTACATCTCAGCGATTGAACTATGCTAAAATTGGGGAAAAAATCAGTGGATTTCCACTTCAGGTCAGTTGCTTAGCCAGAGCTATGTTCTGTGTTTTACATAATAATGTACACTGTAATACTGGCACAAATTGCAACTGTCCCATTCAAGTAATAATGTTTTTACACAGGATGTTTTTACTCCTACTTACTAAGCATGATTTGTGTTTTTTTTTAAGTGTAGTGCAGATTTTACTGCAGATTAGATACACGGCCAGTGGGTTATTTGAAGTGTTTGAACTTATGTCCTCTATTCTAAATCATTTCTGTTTTGATATTACTGTTATGTTGTTCCTTTAGATATTATGTTCCTTAAGCTTCTGCAGTACTCAGATCTGACCTCTGGATGGCAGTGTGCATTAGTTACAGTCTGTCTCTCTGTCTCTGTCTGACAGTATGATAAACGACTCAGCACTACAGCCTACAAAAGACGTATTCGTGAAAGTCGCCTGTGAAATCTTCTCCGATGGGAAGTTTAACTGGGGCAGGGTGGTGGCGCTTTTCTACTTTGCTTGTCGGCTTGTCATCAAGGTGAGGACGCACGCACAGTTAATGAAACCCTTCCCTTTCTTTGAAGACGTGGATTCTTACCCTCTCACACCCAGTTATTCTCAGGCTGGCTGTAAGTGAAGTGGAGATTGCACAATACATACTTTCTTGTGTCTGGCACCGATACTGAAACCTGGAAAACTGGCTGATACCGATACCAATTTGATAGATAAAGTTGTTTGCAAACGTTTGGGCACCCCTGGTTAAATGATGTTTTGTTGTTTTTTCTAATTGATCAAAAGTTAACTCCGCCTTTACAGAGAACAAACTTAAAAATGGCATTTTCTGCAAACGTAAGTTCACAATTTCTATTTTTGTGGAGTTCAATACTTCAGGAAAAAATAAAACATGAAATAAAAAATATGCAGTTACTTTTTTGGGCCACATTTTGTGTGTTTATTTTCCCAATATGTTAAAATCAGCAAATAAACAGTAAGTGAGCGTTAAATGTGTAGAAGTGAGTTCTCTGTACCTATTTTCACTTAGAAAATTAACAAAACTTGAAGGGTTACATACCAAAACACGTTATAGACCACTTTCAAAGCTTTTCCCCCTAATGAACTACACTGTGAGAGGGCTTTACACATGCAGGAAACATTAGTGTTATAATTAAAACAAGTTTTATTAGAGATAGGAAAATATTTTTTCCACTGTACATCAGCTGTGATTCTTTTACATGTGCATATATAGCATTTTGGAATTAAGTTCTTCAATTTGATCCAGGGCACCCAAACTTTTGGACATGACTATATTTATGTTTAAAAAATAAAATGAAAAATTAGACTATTTTAAAGTGAACAGTTTGTAATATAGTGTATAATTTGGCTAACTACTTGTTCTTAAAGTTAACATATATTCTGTACACTCGCTGAACACTTTGAGGAACACCTGTGTACCTACTCACTCATGCAATTATCTGATCAGCCAATCCTGTGGCTTCAGTGCATAAAATCTCTAGAGGTTACGCAAAATGGTGCAATAAAGAAAAAACATCCAGTGAGTGGCAGGTTTGTGGATGGAAATACTGTGTTGATGGGAGAGGTCCATGGAGAACGGCCAGACTGTTTTGAGCAACAGAATGGCTACGGTAACTCCAAAAACCTCCAAAAGCGTTTTCTGTAGGTATTGGGTAATGCCTGGTATTGGTGCGGTCTCTAAGGTGGAGTATGCTTTCTTTTATTTGTCTCCTGTCTGCTGCTTTCTCTGTTTACTACTCTGTTTCTGTATGTGGATGGATCCTCATTGTATTTCTTTTTTTTTCTTTTCAATTGTCCACTGGTAACCTTTAGGCTGTGATGACGAAGGTTCCTGACATCATCAGAACCATCATCAACTGGACCATAGACTACCTGCGTGATCATGTGATTACTTGGATCAGGGAACAGGGAGGCTGGGTAATTGTCCTATGATTTATTTTTTGGTTGTGTCTCTTGTTTGAAGGGGAATTCCTCTGATTTCTCAAAATTTTTACATAATTGAGTCGTTGAGGTGTGATGCAGTCATTCAGAGAGGTTTGATGTGAAATTATGTATTATAGAGAAATTCTTATACTCAGATAGCTTTACAGTGGTGGTGATGGGAAGCAGGGGGTCAACAAAGCAAATATAACTTTAATTTGCTATTTAAAATGGACAGTAAAACTACATCTGAGTTCTATAGCTACTGTTGATAGCGGTAAAATTGTAATAACTAAGAAAAAAAGTTTTCTTAAGTGTACTTTGGGTACCGTTTTGGATGGATTTAAAAAATAAATTTTTAGGCCCTGCACATTAGGTAAAATGCAAATAAAAACAAAAAAATGGAAAAAGGCCAGAGGTGCAGACTTGAACCTGCATGAAGTTGAATGGAAATGTAATTCATTGTGTAATTACCAATTAATTACTTGTAATTAATCTATCAAAACATACAAGTAATTGCTCTCAGGTTTTAAGCGTTAATAAATATATAAAATTTAACTTGGTATTATTATAGTAATTCTTCTAAATCTCTCTCTCTCTCTCTCTCTCTCTCTCTCTCTCTCTCTCACTCTCAGGAAGGGATCCGGTCCTACTTTGGAACGCCTACCTGGCAGACTGTCGGCGTCTTTCTGGCTGGAGTTCTCGCCACTGTGGTGGTCATGCGCAAGATGTAAAAAAGAAAAGAGAGAGCATGAAGGAAAAGAGAGTTAAAACAGAGAGCGAGAGAGAGAGAGTGAGAGAGAGGGACAGAGAGGCAAAGGGGGAAAAGGGAGGGAAAGAGATACAGAGACCATGGCATAAGAATGGAGAAAGATTTGACAGAGAGAGCGGACGAGAGTCCATTCAAGAAAGGAAAGGGGAGAGAGAGGAAAGAGAGGGCCGAGCATAATGATTAATTGCACCTCTACATGACTCTTGAGACTATTCCCTTTCTCATCTACATACTCAAACCTCAGTAACACATGCACTGAAAAAGGAGGAAAACAAAAGGAGAGACAGACCGAGGGATGTGCAAGACTGCGTATTTTTAATTTATTTATTTTTGTTTTCATGACAAACGAAATGGGGGACGCCCTTTAGTCTTTATACAGTGCATATATTAAATAGCTGAAGGAATTTACAGACTTTTCCTGCACTAGGAAATAATCTGCATGCTTACTTGAATCACTCTCCTCTCTCAATGCGTACGTGAGGATGCACACAGAAATTGCACATACTTGGGGTTCAATTTTGATGTACTATTTGCAAAGGGTTTATAAATGCTTAAATGTCATTATTATTTACCTCAATGTCTTTTCTTTTTTATATATCACCATCTAAAGTCAGAATTGTTAGCAATAGGCTCCAGAGGTACTCTGCTGTTTCCCTCGTTCTTTCTCTCTCTTTTTCCTGGGTTCATTGTCTCCTCTCATTTATCTGAACATTCAAAACCCTCCTGCCAGCAAGCAAGCATGCGTGGAGATGTCTGTGTGAGTGGTTGTGATTGTGCTTTGTGGTGATGAAAGTTACATTTAAAGCCACTGTGGGGTGTTTGCAGATATGGCTGCAAAGTGAAATAATACAATTTGACAATCTTTGATCTTCTGTCCTTGGAGGAGCTTCAGGCCATGAGTCAAATATTAAGGATTCACCTGACACAGGTGTGCTTGGAGCCGAATTGTGCCCTGAGGCGGGGTCTTGCAGGATTTTTCAAGATTTCTATCGTGCTGCAACCGGAAGTATAGTCTAAAATCAGACCTGTCTTGTCTGACTGAAGACAAACATCCAGATATACCAGCTATTCCAGTCTGCTGCAAGCTCCCCTTGTCTGAGTGGAACGTGCGTAACAGTACACACTTGTGCACAGTCCTCACTTAACCTCGTCTCTGCAGCATGGTCTTCTCAGTACTGTATTTTTTCTATGGTTAGTCAACACCACAATCTTCATCCTCAATCACTCTTTTTATACACCTTTTCCTTTTTGGTCATTTGGATACAATACAGAACATGTTTATTTGTTTGTTTGTTTTTTTAATTCCTTCTTATGTTGACAGTGCCTTGGCCTTTTTACTATGAAATCGCTTTGATACGGTCACCACTTTTTCATCTTTTTCTACATCTTTGTATAAATGTAAGAATTTCGCTGAATTGATGCCTGGAAGCTGTTTTTTTCTTGCTGTGAGCCCATTCATTTGTTTTGTAAGTCATTATAAGATATAATAAATTGTTTTTATGGATTTCAAATAATATTGATGGTGAAGAATTAATTGATACTTGAACCCAACCAATTGAGAGTGTAATTTCCTGAAGACATTCATTGCTATGGGAACACACACACACACACACACACACACACACACGCACGCACATTATCTAAGCCACTTATCCTTCTGTGTTGTAGGGGGTCCTAGAGCCTACCCCAACATTCAGTGGGCAGAAGGCAGATAACACCCTGGATAGGCCTCTTATGGGAATAGTTTGGTACAAAAAAAAGAAATCAAATGTACAGTTTCCCCTTACCCTAAATATGATCAATCAGCCAAAACATTTTGAATTTTTGCCCAATTATTCCGTTAAAATCATCTTTACTAAAGTACTCTTTGCAGTTCCTCTTATATAGATTATTATTTCATGTGCTTTTGGGAAATTCAGGCCAGTTTTACTGTCTTTAAGTGCTGTACTCAGAATGTTAAGCCCCACAATTTTACTATTTTCTGAATTCTGAACAGGAACAGCCATTGGCCCGTATTTTTCATCTTTCTCAGATCAAGAATGGCGATCTGGGATTGTTTTATGCTTATTTGGTACTGCATGCATTGATGAGACCTGAGCTTGGATCAGTGTTCTTAGTCTAAGACACTTGATATATATGGGCCATTATTAGTATATTTACTAATAAATCCAGTCCTCCTCCAAGTGCAGAAAACATAGGCCTAGCTCTATGTTCACCAGGAGAGTGAAATCGTAGGCACTTAGGAACTTTAAAACAATTAATCTTGGCAATAAGTGTGTTTTTGCTTGTGAAATTGCCATGTCATTAAAAAAGTAGTTGGTTTCTTGTGAGGTAGTTCCAAATTAGTCTGCATGCCACTGGCCATCACCTGCATACCTGAATTAATGAAGTATCGATTAGCCAAACCAGGTGTTGGATCAACTACAAATAACACTGAAGTTCCTCAAGGAGAGGTTTGGACACATTTAACACATTTACAAAAACTACTTATTGTAGTAATATTGTTTCTATTTATCGTCGCTGTCCGAAGAAAACCAAGTATATCCAAAATAAAAAATAAAATGGTTTTAGAGCATGTCTATTGGTCCATTCATCATGAAATTTTCACATAATATAAAGGACAGCTGGTGTGTAAAATAAAAATTGGATTCCACAAGATGTGGGAAACATTTCTTCAAGATTCTGGCCCATGTTGACATGATTGCATCATGTAATTCCTAAGGATTTTTCAGGTGCACTTTCATACTGAGAGTCCCTTGTCAACCGCATACTAAAGATGTTCTACTGGATTCAGATCAGGTGACTGGGAAGTCCACTTAAGAACACTAACATCATTTTCATGTTCATGAAGCCAGTTTTGCTTTGTGACATGGTGCATTATCATGCTGTAGATATCCATTACAAGATGGGTAAATTGTGGCCGTTGAGGGATGCACATGGTCAACAACGCTTAAATAGATGATAGCTCAAGCGATGATTGATTGGTATTAACAGGCCCGAAGTGGGCCAAGAAAACGTTCCCCACATTACACCACCTCCACCAGCCAGGACTGTTGACACATGGCAGGTTGCATCTATGGATTTATGCTGTTGGCACTAAATTCTGCCCACTGCATCCTCAGCTTTCTGTTTTTGGATGACAGAATTCGAACCTGACGTGATCTGCTGTTGTAGCCCACCCACTTCAAGGTTCAGAGTTGTACAGAGCGGTTATCTGAGTTACTGTAGACTTTCTGTCAGCTTGAACAAGTCTGGCCAATCTCCATTGACACCTCTCATCAACAATGTGCTTCTTTTTTCTTAATTGCACAATTTTGAGTAATATCTAGAGACTGTTGTGCATGAAAACCCCAAGAGATCAGCAGTTATATAAATACTCAGACCAGCCTGTCTGGCCCCAGCAGTCATGCCACGGTGAAAATCGCTGAGATAACATTTTTTATATGTTAACAGTTGATAACATAACATGATAACAGTTTCCCATCCATGTTTGATGTGAACATTACCTGAAGCAGCTGGCCTACATGATGTTATGCAACGCACTGCTGTCACATGATACATGAATGGCTGATTTGATTATTGCATGAATAAATACATATAAAGGTGTTTATAATAAAGTGCTTGACATAAAGTGCTTAACATATTTAACATACTGCGGGAAAAAGACATAGAAGTGGCCTGTGTAAACATTTTTGTGTGTTTTATATTTAGTTTTGTTTTTTCCAATATGTTAACTCAGCAGACAGAAACGCATAGAGAAATGCCATATTTCAGTCTGTTTCACTTAACATATATAATATGCTGTATTACATTTTATATGTATAAATGAACCAAATAAAGGTACTTTTATTGTACTAATCTTTATGATTTTTATTTTTTAGCATCTTTTTGTACTCACAAAAGGATTCTGAAAACCATTTTGATCTGCATACAAACTGAAAGTGGGTGTGGCTTAGACCAGAAATGATTGTGAGATGCTGGAAGTGAGCGCATTTGCTGACCACGACAGATTACAGCGTAATCAAAGGACCATCATGTGTTTAAGAAGCGATGATGTTAATAGCGTGCTTACGGAACATGATTTAGACAAAAGTATGCTTCTTGGTTCATTTATGCTGGTAAGACCTACTATTGTAGGGTTGAATTTCAGGACCCTGTCTTAGATATTAGTCATTCTGAAGTTTCTATTGCAGTGTTGAAATGTCAGCCACACTTTTTTCACTAATTCATAAAAACTATTGCAAAATGATTCAGTTTATTTCCAGTGAAGCTGCACCAGATGTAATTTTCAGAAATCATGAAATCAGAAGTGTGATTCAATAGTATACCACAATAGTAATATTAACTGTCCTGACTATACCACTTTTATTATATCAGATAAGAATATAGTTGCTGTTCACCATATTACTGCAGAATTGCATTTATAAAACATTTCACTTCAAGTGGGAATGATTCAGACGGCTGGGAAATGGTATAAAATCACAGCTTTTATTCTCACAGTCATACACATGGTTACTGTAGGAGCTACATGTAAGTAGCAGCGGTTAAGCTACAACACAGTGAACTGGAAATGACTCTTTGGATTCATGCCACACCATGAAATGATCTGTAATTACTGTGATTGACTGATAGCGGTGTGCGAGCTGCGTACCTCCTGGGTGACTCATGGTTTTAAAACAGTTGTATACATGTCAAATTGTAAACAAAATCTGTAGATAACATTAAAACCTCCTTGATATCCATTTGTAAACACTGGTATCCAATGTAAACATTTTTTTAAAAAGCAAGTCAAAAAGACAAGACAATGTTTGAGAAGTTGCTTACAATTTGTTTAAAAAGACATTTTGATGCGAGCAGATAAAACAACAGCATGTAGAAATGGAGGAACACTTAAAATGATACTTTATACCATTTTCCCTTTAGCTCAAAAGTGCTGGATTGACCACAAATTGACAAAAGTATATGTCATTAGCCACATAGGCAAGTATATTTGAGATTACCTAACAACCTGACACTGTCGACTTACAGTGTTAAGGTAAGAGGAAATAGCTGTATATAGCTATATATATAACTACAATCTTAAAGGTCCCTAAATGGTTATTAGCTTGGATGTACTGTTCTTGGAACAACCTTTATATTATATTGAAGTTATTTTGAACTTTAAAAAAGTTCATTTTTTAAAAGTTCATTTTTGTAAAAAAACATTTCATTTTTTTTTTAAAATTACTTTAGATCACAAAAACTGGTTTTAAGACTCTTTTTTTGGCAGTTCTGTGACAATAAGAAACTGATACACACTGTCACAAGAAAAATGCTTCAGGCAATAAGAGCTTTATAAGTACGAAAGCAGAAAGCATGTGCTTCAGGAGTGAGGGGATCAGTTTCTAGCCTCCAGCACTCCATCTCGGACTCTCCAGATCCAAGGGGTCTTGCAGCAGGGGGCATGTCTGCAGTCTGGAGCCCTCTTGCAGCAGGGGGCGTGGCTACAGTCGGGGGCACGGACGCAGCGCAGGAAAAGACCCGTTTCCTGCACTTCTTTATCGTGGGGCACCAGAGAACCATCCTCACTTTGTAGACTGAACACTTTCTCAGAGATCTGACAGAGACACCAACACACATATTACAACACACATAACAATTCAGTACAATCTAAATGTTAACTCTGTGTCCATAATCTCTTCTTACCTGATCACTGATTCCTACAGCAATGTGACCCACTTTTACTCGGGGTGTTTCACGGATACGGAAGCATCGGCCATTGAAATCCCTGATGCAGACATCCACCCCTGTGAAGACAGAAAGAACCCCTCAGCACGACATATTCCTAATACTTGGAATTTATAAATGCTCAAAATTCAAAACTGAATCCAACAGTGACTCATATTCCTATACAGTGGTGGTGACAGGAATCAGGGGCAAATATAGCGATTTTATTTACCGTCCAAAGCCATTAGTGAACCTGAGTTTTATATATAATGTTAAAGATGGTAAAATAGTAGCTAACCCAAAAAAAAGTTTTCCTTGGGGTCTATTTTGCCTTACAACACCCTGCATGTACCTCACCACATCAAAAAACAAGTTTCAATCCAAAAGTGTATCTTAAAACTATCGTAAAACAGTCTCTCAAATGTCAGGCATCACATTTGCAACTACTTCTTATAATAATTACTTTCCAGGACGGAGCTGTTAGTGGCATTAAACTCTCCAGACGTTTAGTTTCACCACCACTGTGAACAATTCTGACTCTGTAAGTTTCTCTACAACTGACTGTTTCACATCAAACCACTCTGAATGAATTGTTTCACATCTTAACTATTAAATTACACAGTTAAGTTATGATTTTTAAAATCAGTGGAATCCCTCTTTAATATACATGGCAAAAATAACCAAATGACTCACAAACCAAAACAAAGGGCCACAAATTTAAAAATCTCAAAGCTGAGATACCAAAAAAATAATTATTAGCCAGACAGTGTTCAAGTGCAGGGTGTACACAGTGAAGTAAAATCAGGGCAGTAAACATTTGAGTCAACTGACTTTCATGCACTGCCATCATTATTTTTTTATTGATAAATTTTTATGTTCAATCTTTTGTGGTGTTCTCACTGCAGCACTTGTAATGAAGTGCCATGTAAATAAATTTTAGCATTATAATTAGCATGATGATGATGATGATGATGATGTCTGATTATTATTATTATTATAAGATTTTAGCACATATTGTCCCACACTGGGACAATATGTTTTAGGCCACCTGGTCAGTGTTTCTGTCACTCACCCTCAAAGCAGCGCGGTGGGGGCTGATGGGCAGGGACCAGCCAGTCCATGCTGAAGCTCTGGCCATCTGATTGGCTGTTGTAAGAGAACACGCCTGAACTGAGGTCATCGCCAGCACCAACAGACCAGCGACCCGAATCCTGGAAGAGATGGGAAGGAAACGAGCAGTGAGGGACACTGGCATGCCTACAGTTTATGCAAAACTGAACTCACTAAAAAAACATGAGGTAAGCAAAGCCTTTGAAGATTTGAGGAAGTGTAGACTTTCCCGTCACAGAGAGAACAAAGAAGTACAATAAGTTGTTTACTGTGAGCAGTGAAATGTAAAACAGCGTGCAAAACCGTATGCTTCATAGTAAGCACAAGCATTCAAATCTCGCAATAATCTCTCATTACTAAACAATATAACCTTTAACAGCTTATGCACTACAGGAAATTATGAACTATTTTGAAAGCCATCATGTGAAAATTAAGCCTCCTACTGTTTTCTGGTAGCAGCCAGGAACAACAAAACATGCAGAATAACTTGAACTTCCAGTGAACAATCGCCTTACTGTCATTCGTCACTTATTCTGAGTAATCTGATCTGTCAGAGCGGCCGAGAGATGCGTATCAGCTCAGGGAAACGTGTCTGCGTTTCCTCATACCCCGCATTAGCCTAGTTCAGTGCTAACAGTAGCATGTGTGTTTACCTTTTTGTCCCATGGCTCTCTGGTGGAGAGGCAGTCACTGCCCAGGCAGGAGAGGAGCTGCTCCTGTAGTTCAGCGGAGTGCGGCTGAGACAAACTGCTCAGGAAGAAATCTAGAGAAAAGAAATAGCGTTTCAGTCTCACATGATACAAATATAAAGCACAAATTCACAGAAAAGGTGGTGTAGGATACTTATAGGCACAGGACACAGTAAAAGAGTGAATAGTACACCATACAAATGCTGTTTAAAAGGTTGTTTCCCAGACTGCCTTAAAATTTTAAGTTAACTGAACTTATAATAGTAAGATGATAAAGCTAGAATGTACGTCTTGAGTTGTGTTGACTTATTATTTGAAGTAATGCAGGGTTAATCTGGTAAATTGCAATACACTACAGGAAGCATATGGGGCAATATGGCTTTTGTTTTGCTAGACCATAAAAGAAGAAATTACTTGGGGCAGACATACAACCTTAAATGGTGGTGGTGGCAAAGTGAGAAGAACCAAAGAAAGCTTAATTTTTACATTAGTTCATTAAATTATTAGGTTAGGCCCTCAAACTATTACTTATTACCTTATTACATCCTAAAGTAAGTTATGTAGCTATTAAATGGAAAATTAGTTATTCCTGAAGAGGCGCTCCAGCCTAAGAGACCACTGCTTTATGTTTACAACAGCTGTAGCAATTACTACATTGCTACAGCTGTTGTAAACATAAAGCAGTGGTCTCTTCAGGGGTCTCTGACCCTGGTTCTGGAAATCTACCTTCCTGAAGAGCCTACTTCCAACCTCTTCCCAAGTCCTTGATTGGCTGGATTAGATTAATTAGAGTTAAGTAAGGGGCGGGAAAGCTTATTGGATACAGGTTGAAACTAATGTCTGTAGGAAGGTAGCTCTCCAGTATCAGGGTTGGAGACCACCGACACAGAGGGATATTTTTGGGTTTAACTGCAGAAAAACCTTGTCTAGATGATGTACCTTGAAGGTGGGAAAAACTAGAACATGGACTGTTCAATTTTTTTTCCGAAGAAGGAGAATATCATATCAGTATTTATTGGCCTCTACAACAGTGGCTTTTTTGTTTACTGCCATGGGGGAGAATCCCAGTGGTTGTGTATTTGTGAAATGCATGCTGGGTAATGAAGTGAGAGAACAGACAAAAACACAAAAAGGATACAAAGTCATAAATTCTATCAGAACGATGAGGTTGAGGAATGCAGTGCTGCACTGCAGAACATCACATAACGTGATGAATAACTTATTAAACCCTAGTGTTAGGCCAGGACGCCCCTGTAAGGAATGAGAGCCAGTTGGTACTGGCCATTTAAGTTCTTTAATGATTAAATAAACTAGCCCTAGTAAACAGCACCGGTATTGTATGAATAGTGGAAAGAGAACAGGTGTAAGTGTGCACTGCATGTCAGGTAGAAACAAACCTCTCTCAAGTTTCCGAAGCTGGAGCTCCTGCTCAGTGAGTTCATTAGGCTCAGGAGAGGGAGAGTGGATATAAATTGCCGAAGCCGGAGGAGGGCATCCCTCATTTCTTCCAATTTCTTCTTCCTCCTCATCTTCGTCCTCCTCCTCCTGCTCCTCCTCCTCATCTACCACCTCCTCTAGTTTTTCCTCATTGGTGCTCTTGTGCTGTTGTCCCACCTTCGTTCCTGCCCCCTCTCTCCATTCCTGCCCTGGGCCCATCCACTGCTGCACAGAGCTATGGGAGAAGGGGGCGGGGTCACGCCTCTCTGGCTTCTCTATTGGTTTCTGATAGGCTCCTCCCCTCGCAGGGCTACGAAGACCTCCCACTGCAGTGACACACAAACAGTCAGTAAACAATACAGATAGACAGCTGTGTGGATTTCTACACGTACACGCACACAAGATGCAAGCAGAGATGACGCAAATGCTCACATTCTTTAAGTGCTTTCGCTGTTTGAAATCTGAGATCCTTGGCTGAAGATCTTCGGTTCGGATCTTTCTGCAGGCCCCGTTTGATGATATCAGCCGTATGCGGGCTGCAGTCAGGTGGGATCTCCCTCAGGGGTGGTGGCTCTTCAGCAATCTTCAAAGACACAGAGATGGAATATTTTTTTTTTCCTTTTTTTTAAACTAATAAGCAATGGAAGAATCAAGAATATACCTCATCACTTAGCAAACTATTGAACTGTTAAGTAATCTCAAATGGATTTGTTTGCATGGTTTCTGACATTGTATGACCTGCTGTTATCTATAAAAATGGACAAACGCAGTCATGAGTAGCCATGAGTCCAAGGGAACATAATAGTATCAGGGTGGGATGGTCCTTCCTCTCCCAATCTAAAACTAACAAAGCATTTTTTAACAAAGCAAACATATCTTAACTGACTGATTGTTGGTTACATTTAAATGGCATAACAGCATACATCTGATTATTTGCTAAACTGCGGACCTAACAATGAAGACGAGGGAGCTAAAATGTATATTGTATATGCTAAAATAACAAATCCGTGTGTTCAGCAGAGATGGCATATCAGTACTGATGGCTGTTAGCAGAAAAACATCTGGACAGGATGTCAAAGGTAAAAAAAGAATATCCTATCCTGAAACAGCACTCACTCACACTGTGTGATGTGATGTTAGGTGTGTATTTCTTTCAGCATTTTAAAGCTTGGTAGTTTTTCTTAAGGAAAATTCTCAGACCGGTATTGACACTCAAGGTTTCAATGTCAATATCAGTAAGAGAAAAAGAGATTTAGTGCCATCTCTAGTGTCCAGCTATCATTACCTTTAGGTAGAGTGGACGAGAGTAGTAGCGGGTCCAGGGCTGGCAGCCATTGAGCATGTGCAGAAGCATGCAGCAGCTGCTCCACACGTCCGCCTTTCCACAGCGCTTCTCTCCACGCGCCACTTCAGGAGCCATATGCGTCTCAGTCCCCTTCAGAACTACACAGACACACAGTCAGTTTCCAACAAGACTTTAACTAGATGGTTTCTAAAGGTTTGCTACTGTTAGCAGAGCATTTACCTTTAGAAGGACTGAATCCATGTTGGTCTAATCGCTCTGACTGTCCAAAGTCACACAGGAATGTGTCTTTTCCGTCTTCAGACAGCAACACGTTATCCACTGAAAATCAAATACATATGCAGATTAACCCTCAGAAGTCAAGTCATGGTATGATTTAATTTCAATTCATTTTTGGTCTTGACATTTGTGCAAAGTTAAGCATTTCTTGACTTCCAAACAAACAGAAGAAAGTGCAGATTCAAACCTGCTGATTAGGTCAAACACAGCTTATAAGGACAAGAATTTTGCTTAAATATAAGATAAAGTAAGTATATTATGTTATACCTTGCTATAACAAAACACAAGAATATGTTTTTAAGGACTCTAGGGAACCTAAATCCATGATTTCATTCTAAGTAGTACTCTTGTAAGTAAATATGGAACTCTATAATCACATTTGAACAGTATAGCAACCCAAGGACGAAAACTTTCCAAGGGTTATAAAAATGAACCATTTTCTGAATTCTCCCATTAGCAAAGCTCAGACCATGTCTGTTTAGAGGTCACCACCCTATATAGGACGTGTACTGGCAGGCAGGTTAAACAGCAGATTATTTTAATGAAGCCTACTGCCAGGCAGACTGGCTCTTCCCAGAAAGCAGACTGCTTGTTTGGGCAGTGGTTTGTTCCAGGAAGGTCTAGACACAAGTGTGAGAAAAGTCCTTTCGGTTTCCGTATCGTGACCAGAGCTGCAATTTGTATGTGATAGTCCACACAAACAGCCAAGCCTGTTCGTTCTCTTTTCTACTCAAACCAAACAGCAGGGGGCACTGTAGATGACCCACAGAGCACAGTCAGTTTTACGTCGTCCTGAAACGCTGTCGTGTATCTCTGCCTTTCTTCCTAAATGTGTTACTTGAACTGAAATGTTTACTCATATTACACAGTCACATCTTCACACTGTTCTTACAATAGCCTCTTTATATCTCTATGTTCGTTTTCTTTTGACCGTCAATATAGTTTTTTCCCCTTTTCTCTACTCCTCCCCCCTCTCGCTCTCTGTTTCATGAGTCACTCTGGGAAATTCCCAACCTCGGTCTCGCTCACTCACTCGCCCTCTCTCTCTCTCTCTCTCTCTCTCTCTCTCTCCTTTTCTCACACAAACACATGGACTCCCCTCTCCCTCACCACAGGTGCTGCATTCTCTTTGCCTCACCCCATTCCTCCGAAGAGCCATAAAACCAAAAAGCAAGCCACAGAACAAACAACTGGTTGAGCTGATGAATAAGTGACTTCAAGCTGTAATAGCATCATCTATTTCATCCCAACACCTTTGAAAAAAGCTCTTCAAGGACTAAACATGTAGAAATTTTACATTCTAATTATAGTCAATGATTTGCCCTAAGCTAAACTGACCTGAGCTAAACAGGCATAAGTGTATTGAACACAACCAAAGTCATTTTAGCTCCACTCCAAAATACGGTAGCATTTTAAAATCGATATCTTTGTCATACTGTCATCACTTTATACTATGACACCCCTCCGGACATTCAGCACCAGAGTTGTATGCAGACCCCTGGTCAAATTACATGTTTTGTTGATTTTCTAAATGAAAGTAAGTTAACAAAATTGAACATATCGGACAAAAATTAAACATAACACTAAATGTGCCATAACGATTGTACATGCCTTGTGTTAGGTTTTATTTTTTCCCAATATGACAAATTCAGCAAATAAACAGTAATTATGCATCAAAATGTTCAGATGTGTATTCTCTGTAGAGAATGTGGTAACTTATTTTCATTAAGAAAATCAACAGAACATGTAATTTGTTCAGGGGCTCCCAAACATTTACGTACGACTGTACATTATATTAGTACGTGAATGGTGACGATTACGATTAATCAGGTCTTTAAAAAGGCAAAACAATGAAAATGGGTTTTATTTAAGACTGATGTATGTAAATGACTGATGCAAATGAGCTCTGATGTTGACAATCTGAATGGCTGCCCTGTAAAAGCAGCTCAGGCTGAAACACTCCTTATAACTTCAACGTGAATGGGCGGAGCTAAACTGATGTAGGCTGAATGGGGGATATATGTGTTGGTTTTTAGGACGTCACAGAAAGAATGAATGCAAAATGGGTTGTTTTTCCGCTTAGTTTCCAAACATGCACTGTGTCGAATAGGAAGGATACACTTTGAAACTTTAACAACGTTCACTTACAGCAACAAACCTTTCTATTTTAGGAAAGTGAGAAAATTCATTTTCCATGGTTTCCTATTATTGGAAAAAGGTGAACTTGGAAGCATTTAAATAGAGTTCATTAAAAACATATGGCAAAAAATACATATAAATGGGTGTGTCCCTGAGGCTCTGTTTCATCCTGTAAGAGAGAGCAGTAGGAGAATTGAAAATATATATTATATTCTAATAAACTGCCAGTTGCTGATTAACTGAGGTAAACTTTAATCCTTTTTTTAAACTGAGCAATCGAGTATAGTTGAGTAATCATGGCAGCCCTAATCATACTATGCATCAACCAACAGCAGTTAGCAGGCCACTGAATATCAGAGAACTAAAGTCACATATTATGACTGTTTTCCTGCCGTCCAACACCGGACACACCTCCTCAGCACAAACTATGAATGTATGACTCAACTGAAAGCAACTCAGTTTCAAAGTGAATGCTCAGAAATCTTACACATTTTTCACACACTCAGATATTCCAAAACTGGCTGCACTAACCTGAAATGTGTTTTCTACCTCCAAATATGGCATCTGACTGTTAGCGTTATATCACTGTCTTCATCTTTGTCACCCTTCCACTCAATCTTAGAGGCTACTTTATTATACTTGCCTTCAATGCACAGAAGCACAGGTTCAAAATTACCTTTGATGTCCAGGTGTAAGATGTGCCTCTTGTGCAGGTGCTCTAGCGCCCCCAGCACCTGGTGCAGGTAATGCAGGGAGAGATCCTCAGGCAGGCGGCCCCTCTCCTTCAGCAACTGCCCCAGAGAGCCTAAGGGGGGACATAAGAAGATAGTAAAGAAAAAAGTCAGGACACCCTACAGAGAGAAAAGCTATGGCTTTATATAAGTCATTTTGGTCGGTTGTGTTTTATCCTGTAGGGTGGTGGAGTTTTTAAAGGGGAATTATACTGATTTTTAAAGTTTAAATGGATATATTAACAAAACAAAGTCATTCAGAGTGGTTTGCTGTGAAATGCTTAGTTCTTAAGAAACTTATCACCAGACATCTGAGGAGTTTAATGCTTCTAATAGCTACCACACAGGAAGCTATCATGGTTACAAATACGCTGCCTGAAGTCTGAGACACTGTTTTACAATAGTTTTAAATTTTGATTGACATTAATTGAGGAGGGATACATGTGGGGCATTATAGTTCAAAACTGTACCCAAAGACCAGATTTTCCACCATCATCAGCATTACATATAAAAACTCAAAAGACATGTGTAGTCCCACTGGTCATTCCAGATAAAAAACAGTATTTGCATTGTAGACCCCTGGTTCCTATCACCACCACTGTGAAGAAATCACAGTCAGTAAGTGTGCCTACAGAGCACCACTCTGAATGACAGAACTGTGCAAACTTTGCATTTAGAAAAATTAGTGAAATTTCCCTTTAAAGATCTTAAGCATGCTACTTTTAGGTGGGCATCTTAGGTGAAGTAATTCAATTGAAGCTTACAGGAGCAGCGGTATTGTGCCATCTCTAATATGTACGCATGCGCATGTGTGTTTCTCTCACCAGGTTTGAGGTCCATAAAAAGGATGACGGATCGACCCTCTCTGACAAATCCATATAGATCTACTATATGAGGAGCCTGGAGGGCACTCCACGAGCCCACCTCCTCAATACAGAAATTCTTCACCGGCACCTAGCAAACAGAAAGAGAGGAGGGTAAGACGTGCACACGTACATCCACACACATCCATACCAAAATATAGTCCTGTGTTGAAAATTATACATTTACAAACTACTGCGTAAACTGTATGCGCACAGAACATTCATGGTTACCTTTTTGGCAGCACACTGAAAGCCACTGGATTTGTCTCTGATGCTGTAGACGTCTCCGTACGATCCTTGCTTTATTAAATTACAGACTTCATAATCCCTCCCCTCCCGATATTCATAGTTGTCAGGGTGCAGTTCCTGCAGACACACACAGAGAGCAATGGCAATTAAGCTCAGTTAAGTCAGCCTTATCCGTGTTCACCAGTTAAAATCATGGTGTAATCAGATACTAGATATTTTTCACTCCTACACTCAAGCTCTTCCAGGGTTCTTTAGTAAAGAAAATGATTCTGTTTAGAACCACGAACATTCAAACAACCCTTTGCATGATTAAAGGGTTGTTTGCATAATGAAAGCGTTCTTCGGATTGATGGAAAACATGCAGGAATATATTACCGACGGTTCTATATAGCTCTTCTTCTACTGTTACAAGCTTGACATTGTAACAACAGAAGAACCCTTTTGGCTGCTATATAGAATGGTGTTGAAAAAGGTTCTATATAGAACCATCTACAGCACACTCTCCATCAATCTTTAATCATGCAAGGGTTCTTTGAGTGTTTATGGTTCTACGTAGAACCATTTTCTTTACTAAAGAACAGCATGGCAGCATACTCCTTCTTTACTGGATTTACTGCAGTGTATCATGTAAAACGTTGAACAAAAACCCCTGTATTCATAGATTTGACAGTATTTTTTAAATGTGGCACTACTGGTTATTTTGTCTGTTCAAACTTCTCAAACCCACTAAATTTTGTGATACTTTTGCGAAATGGTGAAACCGTCTTGAAGTGCTGTGATGTTCTAGTTGTGCTATATTGCCCACCCCTACTGTCAAGGTAAAAACAGCAGGAGAAGAAAACAGCGAGACAAAGCACCACGCAGGATGGCAGAGGTGCATCCTATAGCTGGGCTCTTGATCAATTTGTACAAAAATTACGTTCCTCAAAAGTATCTTTCACAACGTTGCTGAAAGAACCACAGCCACAGCGATACTCCACAGTTCATATAAGTGTAGAAAGCAGTGCCAAGTGGTCTGCTTGCACTTGCAGAGAGTGAACACGCAGTTCTATTAATGTTCATCTGTTTGTGTGGTGCGTGTGAGGAAACTCCCGTTAGCAGAACTAGGCTATTGAGGTAAACATGAAACTTCAGAGTACTGAAAAACAGGAAATCAGCAGCCACAGAAGGCAACTTGTAGCTCTTCAAAACATGCATGTGTTCGTGCGTGTATTAACCAGAGATGTTTTTATCGATGTATGTTTCACTCTCTCTGTATTAGTATGACTACTGTACGTGACTCATTCTTTCATGGGTTCAAACAGGTATCTAAGCCTGTGCTTGCTTGACTATTAAGCTGTGCAGTCATGTATGTAGTCATATCAGGTTGTGACAGCAGTAACAACGAGCAGCCGATGCGATTGATGTGCTTCACTTGTCTACCATTCTCTTTCGGGATGACGTATCAAGCGTGTTACTTTACACGCATGTCATGTTGCGTGTTCTTGCCTGAGCGTGAGAAGCACTTAATTCATACATCCATAACTACACAGTTAACTATTGAAAGGATTTTACAATAATTAACACTTTTTTTAACAATAAAGATTGGAAAATCAACGCAGCATTATGGGACACAACAACAACTGAGAGTTAAAAAGGTGTAAACATTTTAATGAAACCATTCTAAATGTTTTTATTCTGACAATTCAGATTTTGGTGTTTTAAAGACTTTTTGTAAAGCTGGAAAGCTGTCAAAAACTATCATGTATTGGGTTTAGTTTTCGGTTTACTCTTTTACCTTATAAAAATAATACAAAAAAATTAATTCGTCTAGTAAAATGAATTTTTTTCTTATGTAAATTTACCGTAAAATTATTGGCTACTGAGTCGCATTACATTTGCAGCTGTAGATATGCGTATGTACAAATACAGGAGATTACTGTATTTAATTACAGCTTATTACTGTACGTGTATAGCAGAATTCAGCTACATCACAGTAGTCTTCTGGTCCAGGTTTTTATTTTACTATTATTTACCATTAACATGGTACAGTAAATTACTGTAAAAGAAATGCAACTAGAAGTCAGTAATTTACTGTCATTTTAACAGTGAATGTTGTACAGTGTAAGTACATTATATATTAAGGTTACAGTACTTACTGAATAATTAATTGCAGTTACTGGATAATAAGTATTAAAGGCAGCGTTTAAACCTAATCTGCCCTGACTATGGCATACAGTTGGTTACCATGGACCAGGCTTGTTAGCCTTGATGTCTGTGATTGACCGTATGCTGCAGATGGGTAGATAGAGATTGCAGAGAATAGTATTCCTTTAAGGTTTATTGTCCAGCAACTGCAATTACTCATTTAGTTACCAACTGATATATATAATGTACATAGTTATGATGGTGTATGTATAAATGGGGCAGATAGACATTAGGTTTAAAAATTCTAGTGCAGAGTTATTTAAAGCCACACCTTGGATCCAGTTTCTAATCCTGGGTTTTGTATTCACTGGTAGATAAATGACCTACTGAGGCAACTAATTGGCCACATAGTGTCATAACTACCACCAATTACAATATGCAGGACCGGAATCTGGATTGAAGGTCTGAATTTGAAAACGTGTGCTCTAGAGTATGCACTTAACACAAGTCTAAGCACTCATAAGTACATGGTAGTTACATAGTAATTATGTCTTATAGTGAAAAATAACCTCATTAAAGAGAATCCCTTCGTTTGTGTTGCTTTCCTCCTGTTCTTCCTCCTCATCCTCCTCCTCTCTGTCCTTCTCCGCTTTGATCATTTCTCTGATGAAAGCTGAGGCGTAAGAGCGTTCGGCTTGTGTGACATAGTTTCGGAGCCCCTGTACAGCCAGGCTGCAGTCTGTCTCACTGATCAAGAACTCCTGCGAACTCTCACATTCCTGACCATATCTCTCGCAGGAGGGCAGGGTCTGGATTGGCCCCCAGAGGTCTGGAGAGGAAAGGGGAGAGCTACGGAGGCCAAGGTGAGAGGAGTAAGATGGCCGGGCTGTTTCCTGCACAGACAGACTCTCTGTGCTAACAGCTCTGCTGCTGCTGTAGGATATGCTGCTGGTGCTGCTGTAGCTACACTCTCCCACCTGGAGCAAAGACAGGACAGCGGGTCAGCCACAATTCCCAGGGAGGTTATTTCATGTTAGTGATCTCTTAACAATTTTTAATGTTACATAACACAAAACATGCACACCTAAATGTGAGAAATAATATAAATATAATAATGTCTATTATCTCTTCACAAAATAGCATTTGTTTTTACAAAGTTAGTTTTGCTTTCAAATTTCTGTCCGGAAGTGCACATATTTTGTGCAATTATATTTACAGCACTCTCTAAATAATTTCTCTTCTGCTAGATCTACTAAAGCTGGCCTCACCTCTCCACTGTCCTGTTCCGGCACTCCGGTCAGCCTCCTCTCTCTCACTCTCTCACTCCCTCCATCTCTCTGCTGGCCCTCCCTCTCTCCCTGCCTCCGCCGCTGCCTCTTTCGGCGCTTCTTTCGGGGCCGGCGGCGAGAGACTGACCCCTGGGTGCAGGACAAGGGAGTGCTGAGGTCACTGTAGGTGACATTTTTGTGTCTAAAAAGAAATGGAAGAGGACGTTAAGGAATATGAGCAAGGCACACGTTTAATATGTGATTCAGTGAACGCGTTACAGTCCATCAGGCCTTTACCTGCTGTTGGGACAGAATTCCTGCGAGTCCTGAGATTCACCTGTAAAAAGGTAAAGAGGTTCAGCGCAGGTGAGCCTTTGGTGTCTCACAGAACACTAGGTAAATAATACTTGTTTCTGCATGACTAATTTAATTATGCCACATTTGACCAAACTGAGTTGAAATATTCAGATTCATCTGAGTGTGAACACTTAAAAGTGGTCCTAAATCATCCCAAAGATTCAGTACTCACACTCTGCTTGGGCAATAATGGATGGCTTCTCTGTCCCCAGAGGGCCCGTCCCCACATGCTTGGCTGTTCCATGAGAGATGACCTTCAGAAGAAAGTTGGAAATGTCTGCCTGACGCATCAGCTCCTCAAGTTCGCTGCTTTTGCCAGCGGTGCTGGCTGCATGTGGTTCTGGTGTGGGGTCGTGGCAGCCATAAGTCTTGAATTTTGGCTGATCTGTGGACATGGAGAAAGGCCTGGTGGAGTTCAAGATTCTTTCCATCTTTTAGAGCCTGTGAAGAAAGCAAAATTGGACACAAATAATCAATAATTAGAAACATAATAATAAGAAATAATTAGGACATGAGATGGGGGCATCTGTAAGTGCTAGAGATTGCACTGACCCAGTGTACAGTACTGGTATCAGGTCAGTACTAGGGATGTGCACGGATACTCAGTTAACCACGTTATGCTAGTGGATGTACTACTATACTATAACAAGTGGTTAGCTGAGTACCACTTGTTATGCTAGTATTCAAATACTGAAAACACTTTTCAGGTGCTCATTATGTTTAAGAGGACTGCAAAATGTGACAGTTTTCTGAGTAAGTATATTATAGATGACAATATATATCATATTAGGTAACTGATATGGGTAATATGTACCCATACTACTAGACCAACTACTCTAGCTGATGTTAGGTAGGTTTGTAAACAGTGAAAATATTTGTCCCTGACAAAGTATCATGTTGGCCCATCAAGAAAAGGCCTTGCGTGGAAGACGGCGGGCCCTCATCGCTGTACTTATTAGTGTCAGTTCAATAGCTTCTCTAAAGAGCGGCATCCAACATAAAAACAGAATCTGGGCAGAACCCTCACACTAGTAACGCAAATGGTCGCATGTGGTCACTGGATACGCATTTGAGACACATGGAAATGCCAGGTATAAATGGCTTTGTGTATCGCTGCCCACTTATGATCAGATCACTCAAGATCTTTTTTAAGTGCCGCTAACGCAATGTTACTGGACACCTCAACACGCTTGGAGGAGAACACTAGCTGCCAATCCTGTTACTAGCATTTTGATGAGTGATGGTGGAAGAGGGAGGATCATCACTATTGACTTCGTTTTGCTATATTTGGACACCACTTAAATAACTACATTTGGGCTAATTGTAAAACTGTACAAATCTGACTTTTCACCATAAAATTCCTTTATGTTATGTGTGTTTAAATGGCCAACCGTGAGGTAGCCACCCCAAGGTGACGTCTAGACGCCTGAGTTTACCAAGAAAGAGCATGGCAGTCCCAGGCTGACATTTTGCTATGTTTGAGTGGTTGGCATCTTCTTTTTCCATTTCTGCTCGCTTCTGTTATTGTGCCACACTGAAAAAAACGTTGGTTTCAAATGTGTCAAGTGATCGCATGTGAATAAAATACACAATTGCTGTCTTTCAGATTTCTTCGTTTGACAAGAATTGTGTTGAAGTAACACATTTTTTTTTCCAACCTCCTGAAGACCAGCATTATTTCGAAAAATGATTTATGTTTACATGATCATGTAGTGTTCATTCCTCAACAAACTTATGACCAGGCTTGGTCAGAATGCTCAGAGCACACAATAAACAATTTTGTGATTATTGAGGGCTTAATTACCCTCTGCGACAACAATAAAGGCTAGTATTGTAAAAATGACTAGCAAATGATATATTGAGAAGACCTGTCTGGGAGCTATTAAACATTAAGAGAAGCTGCCATTCACATCTGCTCAGTGAGTAACGCCGCCTCACACCTGGACTTCTTTAACCGTTGCTGGTCACGGTGACTTACAGTGTTGAGTATTTTCTTTCAGGCATGAGCCGTTAATAAAAACTCATTTAGTTGGAATGACAGCTGATTCGCTAATCTCCTGTGAACTTTGTACCTGCGAGGAGATAAACGGAGTAGACAGCTCTCATTGTGTTCTGTCAAACAAAGCACAAGCACTCCTCTGTTCTCTCAACACGTCCTTGAGTGTGTGGAGGGTGTTTGTGTTGGGTCGAGTGAGAAGGAAATGGAATATGATGAAACCCGATCATCAAGCTGCGTATCACAGCTGGGCCAGAGGATTCAGCACCTCGGGGCTGGTTTGACAATGAGGACAGAGGAACAAATTGAGTTGATGAGGAAGTTGCTGACTGGTTTAAGGAGATGCAAAAGCCAGAGAAGCCGGTTTATAGTCAGGTTTCAAGGGTGGAATATGATGCGAGTTGTCTGGCAACATGATTTTAGTAAGAAGTGTCAAAGCACAAATACTTTTAAATTACTTTTAAATTACGACGGCAGTAACATCATTTTGTCACAGCGAACAAAGTACTTTACCTTACTGATGTTTAAGTAATGGTTCGTAAATTAAATGTGCGCTCTAGATGTAGTCAATTAGCCAAGACATATTTTGTGTTCATATTTTGCTTATTTAGTTTAGTGCTGGAGCTACGAATCTAACGCTGCTACTAAACACTAGAAGTCAATAGTCAACCCACTATCAACCCACTTAAACCATATCCAGAGATTGGGATCAATAGAGACTGAGACACAGTATGATTTAAAGCAAACTGTAAAAATGAGCAAAACTTCACTGTGTAGCTGAATACTGGGTGCAGCTATTTTACACAAGTATGGAATTTGGAATATATGGAAGCTAGATTAGGATTTCTGTTGTTTTATTTCATAAACAGCTGTTAATCTTCGATTTCCAAACTGAAGATATGTGTTTAACTGAGGTCCAAAATGGTTGTCTGCTGCACTGAGCTATACTGTTAAGCTCTCTTCATTTTTATAGGTTGTAGTTAGTCACACCGTGTCCAAAACCTCATCAACAAGTCTGCATTACCTTAATGAAGACCCGAGTGTGGTTTGAGAGACGTTTTGAGGATGTATTACAGAAAAGATATCGGTGACTATTGACTTGTGTTTGCTATATATGGACACCACTTAAACAACTACATTTGGGCTAATTGTAAAACGAAGGCGATGTCTAGCTGAGTTTACCAAGAGCATGGCAGACCCAGGCTGACATTTTGCTATGTTTGAGTGGTTGGCATCTTCTTCTTCCATTTCTGCTCGCTTCTGTTATTGTGCCACAATGAAAAACAAGTGGGTTTCAAATGTGTCAAGTGATCGCACGTGAATAAAATACACAATTACTGTCTTTCAGATTTCTTCGTTTGACAAGAATTGTGTTGAAGTAACACATTTTTTTTTGTTTCCAACCACCTGATACATTTGAATCACTGAGTCAATTCAAAGTAGGAATGAATGACAATATCGGATTCATATCAGTATCGTCAGATGATTGCTTAAAAAGTTATGATCAACAGACAGATGTTTAGATTTGACCAATGTCTGAAGTTGTTTTCATTGTGCTCTGGAAGAGCAGAATATTTAGGTGACACTGGGCTGCTGTGCTGAAATCTGAAAGACTCTGTCCCACTTTTCCAATATTTTATATACATTTATGTATCAGCACCAGCAGATATGTACATAAAAAGTACGGGATATCAGCATCGGCCCACAATTCCCGTATCGGTGCATCCCTAATTCAAAGCATCATTTTTTTCCAATGTGTACTTTACTAGTTGTAGGAATTCATGCTTTAGACTCATAGAATCTTAAAAAAAAATTGCACATCTTCATTTACAATTCTCCCTCCTTTCAACTTGTTTTATCAAAGGTTGGTATAGTATAGTGGGTAACACCTCTGCCTTCGTATGCTGTAGACTGGAGTTCATTCCCCTGCCTGGGCACATACTCTACACTATACCAATGAGAGCCCTAGGGCAAGACTCTTCACACTACCTTTGCCTACCTGTGTACAATGATCAAGTTTTAAGTGGCTCTGGATAAAAGCGCCTGCCAAATGCCGTAAATGTAAATCAAAGAAAATGTTACCTGCACTCAAAAAGACAAAGTAAGCAGGTCGTTTGATGTACAAACTGACAATATGTGAACATTTTCTGCAACTAGGGGTAAGCAATATGGCAAAAAATACCATATCACGATACTTAAAGATGTACAATATGTATCACAATATTTTGGCACAATGCACTGGTAGAGCAACATTTAAAAACTGCTATCAAAAACTCTGGGTACAATAACGTTCACATACTGCAATGCACTACATCTAATTCAACAGGCCTAATTATGCCCTCTATGTAATAACACATGCTTGATGTGTTATTACACATGTTTGTCAGTGTTCTGATGATATCCATGAGAAAAAGCTTATTTCACAACAACAAAATTTACCACCATAACAATAAAATATTGTCATATTGCCCACCTTTAACTGCAAATGCATTTTTGGTTGAGGGAGCAAAGTCTGACTCAGCATAAACTCATTAATACATTAGTTTGCATTATGCAGTAACATTTTAGCTTATGTTGGCAGAACTGCAATGACAAAATCAACCCTGCAAAACACTACTTGAACAAGAAATTATTAATTATTATTAGAAATTATTCATTATTATTCAGCAATACTATGGGTGTTGTAATAGGCCTATTGATTGAGAGTCTAGAAGGGCAGAACGTAGCAGTGCTTACAGCATGTTGCATCAGAGAGCTGTCACATGACCCAGTTAGCCTTTGTTCATGCTCTCTCTTTTAAGCTCTCTCTCTCTCTCACTCACTCTACCTCCTCCTCCTCCTCCTCCTGCTCCCTCTCCATCTCTCCCTGCCTGTCCATCCTCGTTTTCTCTTCCCTTCTCTCTCTCTTTCTCATGCATATCTCTCAGCTAAGAGAAAACAGGCCTCCATCTGAAGGTGACATCATGTGAGAGAAGGCCTGCCAAGCGCTTGCTGGCTTCAGAGAGCTGAATCCTCCATTTTGATCCCTCCTTAGCAAAGCAGTTGGTGACATCATCAAAACGCTTCCTGAGCAACTGGGAGCATTTGCAGCTCAACGTGGCTAAACATTGTGCTCACAGTCAAAAACATTAACCGAGAGGGTTGTTTAACTTACAATCTGAATCACTAAACAAATTGCAGTTTATGGTTAAAATAACAAGGTTTGCATCTTCTGACTCTGTTCAGTTTGATTGAATGGAAGGTTGTTGCATAATTAAAATCAGCTCATACAAGGATGTATTGTTTTGGCTGCCCAAACACATGTAAAACATGCAAATCATACCGGCCTATCCACCAGCCTTCTGCAAAACATGACTCTAGCTCCTCAAGTCTGGCAGCTGCCCTTTTCTCTCACACAATAATTAATACGATGCTGACATTTATCGCCCTGCTTTTAGTTAAAGACTGATACATTAAGCCCTACTTGCAAGACGTTTGCAGTGAAGAACCAAAGACAAGCTTCCGTAGAGGGTGTGGCTCACAGGGTCTCTCTGTGAGACGGAAAACAAGATGCAGAATTTGGGGGTGACCATGGACCAGCTTCAGCCCCTCAAGTGTCTCATCACAACCCTATTCCAGCTCCAAATGAAGGTGCTCCCCCTTTTATTGATCAACATCTTAGCATGGCACTAGGTGTGATACAGGGTACAGGGTACATACATAGATCATTTTTCTTCATACCTGAACTATTTTGCTGACTTCACATACTATGCATCTGCTTAGGCTTTGAAAGCAAACTCAAAAATGGGAGAATAACCCAATTAGCATTATGGAGTAACAGACAGAGGACAGATCAAAAAAACAGCATCATGCGAACTGCGCAAGGTTCAGCGCCTTCATCTGTGCAAAATACTGCTGTCACTATTGATTACGTTAACATTTGGATAATTATTTAAATTGAATTTAGAAATGAGAGTTTTTAAAGTGGCCAAACAACAAAAATAGACTTAAATGAGCTACAACGAAGTATACATAGCCTTCAAAAAGTGTTTACTGGAAAGTGATACACAAGGAAGCCTTTCGAAAAGCACAACGCTGCATAATATGCATATTAATGAGTGTCATTAATGTTTCTTTCTGTAAGAGATGGCATTAGAAGAATTTGAAATGCGATGCTAGCGATTAACTTGAGAATGTAAAATTTCATCTGTGATTGGTTAAAATCGAGTAATCATGTCAGCCCTAGTGCCAAGTGATTTGCAGGCTATTTCTGCAGTAGCTCATTAGCAGGACTTTTTTATCCAGATAAGGACCTGATACACTGGATTAAATCTACAAACCACAAATATAGCACAAATATAGCAATAATGTAGGGTTATCTAGATGGAGAAAGCAGTATTGTGGAAGAAATAATGTCAATCTAATCTACACTCTTTAATTTTAACGTAAGCCATCCATCCACACTCTCCTTCTCCGGTCTACTCCAGTCTAATTTTTCTCTCCATTCAACTTCCTGCTACTGTGAAGTCCACAGCAATACACACTCACATTTGTATGTACACAGACACATTATGAATGGCAAACATTTTACATTTGCATTCCGAACAGGGGCCGAAGCGACTTGCTTATTTGTGCAGACCTAAGAAAAAAAAAGAAAAGCCAAAACACGAGAACATGCACACGCAAGAGAAGATAAAAAGGAACGTGACAGCGAGAGGCAGAAAGAGAGAGCGAGAGGGAAAGATTAAGAGAGAGAAAGAGAGAGAGAGAGAGAGAGAGAGAGAGGGGATAAAAACATACCAACTAAGGCACCGGAGAGGACCTTTCATTCTCCGTAGTCTCTTCCCTTTTCTACTCTTTTTCAGGTTCATAAGCAACGATTAGAGAGAACGCACAGTTTCCCTGCACTTTCTCTCACTGCATTCGTTTACTCACAAGCTAGGCTCACTCGGCTCCTCCCTCTCCCTGCTGGCCCGGAGCCAGCCGAGCAGAGCTTTGTGATTGGACGGAGCTGATTTCTCAGAAATCCATCCGTTTCTTTGGCAGCTCACTCCCTCCTCCCCTTCCCGCCGCGTAGGGCTACAGTGTGACCTTTGAAAAAGCTCAAAAGCTCTGTTACGGGCGCTCTCTCTGCCTGATTTTTTTATTTAACAATCACTTCTTTACCCTCTGTTGTTTACAATAGTTTATCTGTTTAACCACGAGGTCATCTGAAATTTGGTCAGATCAGTACTCTATTCATTTTTGTTGTTGTTGTTGTTTTAATGAGTCATCAAACTTGAGCATAACATCTTACTAGCTTCACCTATTCTTGTTTTCTGCATTTGGGGACAAAGGACTGGGTTCCAAACCAAACTGCACAGGTTCAGCTGGTGCAGTATGATGTCTAATGTACAACACTAACAACCGTCAGTTTTAAAGCCCCACCCTCCTGAGATCACACGATCCTCTGATTGGTCTTTCACGTCCAACAGAAACTCAAATGTTATCTACGCATACTTAAGTGCCTTTTAATGGTATCAGATATGTTTTGCAAAAAAACATTTTAAATGTGAAAGTACTGAAATTACTTTTCAGATACCAATTGATTCACTGATTCACTGAAGTGGAAAGTGGACAATATGTACCACTGAGGTACATATATTTTACAATATACAGGATTAGGAAGTGACTCTAAGCTTTTACAAACCCTATAATGGGTTAGCTTTATTATACAGTTGGCTATAAAGCGATTACTTTTGTCTACAATGGCTAGAAGATGCTCTTTACAGCCTTAACCCTTTAAGGCATGTACAAAAACGTGACCATTTCTGTTGTTTAATCTTCTCTTTTTCCTTTAAATAATGTGATTTCTCCATACTGCATTGATACGTAAAGAATGTGACCTAACAATCCTAAAAATCTCCATCTGTTTATCAAATCATGGATTTTTTTTTAGTTTTCTTAACAAGACAACCAAAGAATAGGATTATAAGCCACACATCAGTCATATTTTAACATTACACTGATTGAACAAATCAATTATCAACAAAGAGTTTACCAATCCAAATTGCACTCTAAATGAAACTATCCTAGTGCATCCAACAATAAAGGAAACATGGAGCTTCTTTTATATAGGGATAGGAAACATGGCAGCACGAACGGTTTAATTCCACATGCTAATCCATTTTACTGCAACCAACGTGGCGGCAGACTTAAACGGGACACTGGCAAAGTCTCTGAATGTATCGCCGGCAAGACGTTTGGTTTTATAGGGTTACAGAGATCATATGGCAACGGAAGTGGTCTTGTGTGTGAATCATCACACACTGGTGTCAATCTCAAACAGACTTGCTTCTGTGCTTTCAGATGCTAACCAAAGTTTGGCTCAAGATGGCTGCTACTGTTGTTTTTAGCTAAACAATTTATTCTTACGTTTAGCTAAATTAAATTTTTTTTATTTTCTAAGTAAAAAAGTTAACACTCTACAGGGAACACACTGAAATATGAGACTTTTATGCTAATTTTAGGGCAGAAATATGATCAGTTTAGCGAATAAATAGTGCACTGTTTTCTGTACACTGTAATCCCACATGTTTTAAGTCAAATAAATGAAGTCTGTTGTACACAAAACTGAATTTACCTCAACTATATCTCGGCTATTTGAAGTTAAGGGAAGGTTTTTGATGATTTCAAACACACAAATGGCATTTTTGAGCTGAATCAACTTATTGCAATCTAGTGTAGTCTTTGAAACTCCACATTCAAAAAAAGAAACAGCACTGCTGTTGGGTTTAGTCGTTTCTCTCTGAAGTTACTCTACAAATGTGTATAACTGAGTGAAACTAGGTAAGCTGTGTTGTTTAGGTGAATGTTTTGTTACCACAATCTTGTTGGGTAAAAGTTATTGCTTTCCTATTGGCTGCTCACTCCATTTATTTGCATACTGGGTGTTTCTTACTGCTTGTTTTACTCACCATCAACGTGTTTTCATTCCACCCAGGCTGCCTTTCCTCAGGTGTGTACTTTTTTAATATATGTGTTGGTCAGCTGCCTAACCTTGTGCTGTTGGTAAAAAGGAAGGGTTATCACTGTCTTTACCTAATGAAACATATAATTAAATTGCAATTTTAGGCTTGATTAACTCAAAAAGTTAAAATAAATAGTATTTTAATCATTAAATTAAAATAATTTGAATTTATGAGTTACATAAACATGCATTTTAATTTAAGCCAACATAAAAATTTAAGTTATTCTAACTCAGGTTTTCATTACACATTACTTAACTTTTTGAAGGCAATCGTTTTCCTCCGTTTTTTAAAGTAAATTCAACTTATCTGGGTTTACAGTGTGGAGGACAGGTTTTATTTTCTTTTTTTGCATAGGACTGCATATATGTCCGTTTTATTGATGACACTGTGTAGTATCAGAAACCACATTAACGAGGCCATCTGGGGAAAACTGCATCAGATTTTTTGCTGAAATATCGCTTTTAATTATTATGAAGTGTTACTCAACTGCATGCTGAATCTTTTTTCAGGCTTACAGTCAGGATGATTAATGGATTAACACATGCCTGAGCGTTAAACCACAAGTCAAAGACTATACTTCTGTTTTTGGTACTGTGCGGTTTGCCTCACAGTGTTCTTGGATGAAACCCAGTTATTATGGGTGTTCACTCGGCTCTGCGCTGGTTCTGATATGACGTCATCAGAAACTGGACTGTTACACCGAGTCTGAACGTCAACTGGATCGAATTAAAATGTGAACAATTTCCCAGGAGCTCTCAACAGCATGGGCTACTTTTTGGGTCACTGTTTTTATCCAAAACTGTTTCATATGAGCGTTTGGGGAAGTGAGAGACAAACAGGCAGATAGGGGAGAGCCACAATTGCTTCACTCGGAGATGGGCCGTTAGCTCATGCCATGCTAAAGGGAAGTGTGGACAGTTCTCACCACGGCAGCAGGAACTGTGCGGTGAGCGGAACACTGGCAGCAAACCAAGGAGGAAAATACACAATCATGGCCCTGAGCAGTTATGAGAGGGTTCACCACTGAAAAATCCACCACTACAAACCACCCTGACCCAGGCATGTCCATTCTCAAGTACCTGTACATCGCTGCTGTCGTAATAAAACATTGTTTTCTACATGTACAAAACCCATATCGACTTCGACTTCACACTAAAATCCTTTTGCTATGACTTTTTATTAAAATAAATAATTGAACATTTCATTTCGTCACTATTAAAACAATCTAACTAATCGTAACTTTACCAAATGTTTCAGTAGTGACAACATTAGCTGATGATTAGCTAATAACACTAGCCAGTATATGACTGGGAAACATAGCTGTGAACAGCTGTACCAACATCATATTAGTTTTCAGTAAAACACCAAAAAGTTTATTTAATTGCAGAAAATATGTGTTTTTTTTGTAGTGACAGTTCTTAATGTTACACCCTGATTTTCAGACTTTGGGACACATTTACTTCAAAACGCTGGGATCTAACTGCTCACCATGTGGCCATGAGAGACAGGGATGCAGTCTCCCTTCCTGCTCTGAAATGCAGGGGAGTGGCTAAAATACGGCTCCGCCTATATACCAAAGCTCACATGAGGAGCTGACAGGATTCTGAGCAGAAATACGAGTGTTTATTTCTTCTGGTGTATGCAGGCTTCTGTGTGGTGTTACCACATAACCTTCTATGTTGAAACGTGTAGTTCCAAAAAGGACAAAGGAGCCGCAGTTATTGGATCTCCAGATACTGCTCAAGAGAATGTGCAGTTTTTTATATGAACATCAATTGTAATTGGACAGCAGTGTCTTGTACACAATGTCAGAGGCCTAACGCAGAGTTATCTCTTGTAGCCAAGAGGAATTACAGAACAAGTACCAGATGACAGGAAGCGCAGCACAACGATTGATGGGAAAATGCCTTTGCTATTCAGAGTATGTCTGTGTGTATCGTCTGAATGCATGAGAAAAAAGGATTAAAGAGCTGCTCTGTAAGAAGGGCGTATCCGAAAGCAACTGAGGCAAGGTAATGAATGTGAGCAATGAGAGGCACCACAGATCAGATAGACAAGAATGTGTAAATCCAAGACACATGCATTCACACACTACTAATAAAGAGACTTCAAGAGGAATGTGAAAGACACACACTGCCAAGCACATTTGTTCTCATGCATTCTCAGGATGTAGGGTCACACATGAGCCCCCATATGTTACATATACATGAAAGAACATATATGTAATAATAATAATATGTCTCATATGTATTACATACACTACTGGGCAAAAGTCAGAGACCACCCTTCATTTATTTTATTTCCAGTCACAGTAAAATGTATTCATTTTTCAGGAGACATTTCTGAGGAGATTACAATTAAGATAATCCACTTGCATAATAAAGAGGAACATCAAAGGAAAATGAGCAAAAGAACTGGAGTTTAAAAAAATATATTAAAAGATACAGAGAAAATGTGGCCCCTTACAATGACGCAAGACTCGTTAGACCACCAAAAGTGTCCCCATCAGATAAACAGTACTGAAAATATCTGCAGTAGTTTCTGTCTATCCTTCCACTGTGAGAAGACAACTCAACACTGTGAGTCTGAAAGGATGTGTAGCTGTCAAGAAGCCCTTAGTGAGAAAAATAAACATGAAAACTGTACATCTGAGATGTGGAACAAGGTTTCATAAATTTGGAGTTAGAATTATCTGGATCATTAAAAGCATAAAATGCAACCAACTTCTAAGACTGAACTTTGAAGGTGAAGTTTAGTTGTACACGTTATAGACGTTATAGAATAAATATATCTGCAGATTTGTAAGTCTGCAAGTCTCCTGAAATGATGGAAGCTGTTATTAAGGTAAAGAGACACACTTAATATTGAAATAAATGATGTATATTTAGTTGTTGAGGCTTCTGTGTAATTTCAATTCTGTTGAATGTATGTTATTGCTATGTTCCAGATGCCGAAAAATGTATAAATTGTACTGATGATCATTTTGAC